CCGCTTGCTTTAGTGGAAGGTGTCCCTGCCTGTGACAGGTTGGGACTGGATGAGCTTTAAGGTTCTTTCCAATCCAAACCATTCTATGATTCCAGTCATGTGTGCTTTGGAGTCTGGCTTTCCAAGAACATGGTTCCAGCCATGCTGTCAGTGAGGAAGCTCAGGCTGCCCTGGCAGGGCTGCCGCAGGCAGTGAGGGTGGCAGTGGGCTCTCGCCACCCCCGGCTCCGCCAATATCCACAGCTCTGAGGAACCTCAGGAAGTGTCAAGAAAGCCACTGCAGAGTCGTGGTGAGGGTGTTTGGGGCTTGTCATGAGTCACATTTGTCACAAAAGCAAGAGCTAATTTTTCTTAGTGCTAAGTGATGTGGCTCAACAGACATCAGTGGTGTTCCCCAGTTGCCCACACTGCTTTCAAACTCAGCCTGGTGTGGGGCTGGGTAACTGCCTGCTGGCAGGGAGGAGCAGACCAGCTCCTGGAGATGCCATGCACTGGTGGGATAGGTGGCTGGAGGCTAGAGAGGTTCTTCTTCCTGCTGGAAGCACCATTTATCTTGGAGGTCTGTGCTCATGTGCATACATAGAAGAGCCATTCCGTCAAAGGATGGCTCAGTTGTCAGGGCTGTGAACATCTCTAGACCCTGTAAAATGGCTTTTTCTCTTAACTACAGCTTTGCTGACATGCTTTGAGAATCCCTGAGTATGAAGAGGTTCATTGTATAAGCGTCAACATTTGGTTTTGTATATATTGTATACACATAGGTGTCAGTCCTGATCTGAGTACAAGGTGCCCCATGCCTTACCAGCACTCTACCAACGCTCTCACACATAAGCATCACTTTTATGTGGAGAGTCAGGCTGATGGCAATGGCAGGAATTTTTTTTGGGGTTGGTGGTGATCTCTTGGCTCCCAGGGTGCCACAGCTCTGCGGACCCCTCAGTGGGGTGCTAGAAGAGGTACAGGTCAGGCTTTGAGGCACTCTGGAAAGCAGGCGTGGAGCCCTTATAACACACCGCTGTGGCAGAAGGGTGGGAGATAAGCCTGCTCAGCATCTCTTTGTGAGATATTTTACTCACAAGAAATAAAAGGACAGTTTTCAGTGCATCTGAGGGAAAACACATGTGAGTGGAGGAACTGGGCATGGTGTCAGGAAGCACCAGCTTTCTGGATGCTGCCTTTTTGTTGTGGTTTCCAGTGATTCAGAGAAGGAACAGCTTGTGGCCCTGATGCACCTCTTCTGGCCTGTGGTTGTGTGTGTCCTCTGGGGATCAAGCACCTGATGCTGTTGCTGCTTCTCTTGATGCTTTCCCAGCTAACTGTGCTCTTAGGAAAAGACAAGGACTCTACTGAGCAGGTCAGCTTTAGAGTTTAGAGCCAGTTGAGGAGGGAAGCGCCCTGTTGGCCAAACTTCATCCATCCTAGAGAAAGCCAACAGGGCTGTTCCCTGCTGTACTTCCGAGGGTGCTGCTGTGGGTATGCATCCACAGAGCTCCCAGCACAGCAGAGCTGTCCCTTAACTGTGATCCCCGAATGGAGCTGCAACATGGCCTTCGGAAAAGTGAGCACTGGCTTCCTGCTTCTTCACACTGTCAGGTCTTGCTCAGTGTGAGAGAAGGTTTACATGGTGGTTACTACGGGATTGCTCAAGTGAGGGCTCAGTAACCTGCACCTTGTCTGCTCCACAGCTGTGGAAGGGGCGCTCGGACCCCGTACTGCACATCGAGCTCAGACGTTGGGCTGACCTGATGCTCGTGGCACCTCTGGACGCAAACACGCTGGCAAAGCTCGCCAATGGCATCTGTGACAACTTGCTGGTGAGTAACAGCGAGCTCTCTCCTCCCAGTGTTAGACTGCCTGACCTTTCTTTTATGGAAACTCTTGTGCTTCTGCAGCAGTGAGAAGAGCCACATTTGCATGTTCCGCTCCCACTTCATCTGCTTGTCTCGCTCTTCCTCCACCATGGTTCCCCTGTTCCTTCTCAAACAGTCATTCCTCCCTTTCCTGCCCTAGATCCCTTCCCACTCCTTGTCTCTGACAGTCTCTTCCATCATTTCCCAGTCTCTGCTTTATGCCTTTCCTGCTTTCTCTTTCTTTTATTGCTCTCTTTCTACCCCCACCCTCTGTCACAAGTGTGCACATACACTTGTGCACACGCACGACTTGCACTCACTTTTGAGTTCCTCTCTGCATTTCTTAGATGTGAGCTGCAGAGACACCTGTGAGATCTGATAAAACTCTTGACTTCCTTCTCCCTCACCTCCTCCCTCACCGAACTACAGAGCACACAAATTCAAACACACACTCACTTACCTTCCACTTGCAGCTAGAGGGCATTTTGCTGGTTCAGGCTTGTTTTTTCTGGTATTGAAAGTGCTGGAAGGCTGATCAGAATGTGCATTAAAAGAGAGTGTGGGCCTTTGATGGGTGATGGGGACATGCAGCAGGGCTGAATGCTTTCTGTCTTAATTAGGAGAAGTCACAAGCATTAACTACCCTAAAGATATGCCAGGAAGCTGCAGATTTTGCTGTGGTGCATCACCCTGCAGTAATGCACGGAGGTTAGAACTAGGAATGGAGGGCAGGGAGCCCTGTGTGACCAACTTAGCTCTTCAGGTAAGAGAAAGTGCATGTAAATGCAGAGCAACAGCCCTCATTTGTATGAGTAGAGCATCTGAGAGAAGCCAGAAGGAGCTGTGGGAGGGACGAGCAATGTCTTGTCCTTTTGGGTCCCCTTGGTACTATGGATGCCGTGGTGGTAGCAGAGGGAAGATCTTAGGGATGCATGGCTTCCCAAACTCCTGACAATCTTTTCAGAAAGCCTTGTGGAGGGAAGAGGAAGCTCCTAGAAGTGCTGGAGGTGCTTGTTGGCAAGTTAGAATAGATCCTGGCAGAATTCCCTGTGCTGGGAAAGGTTCAAATCACAGGACACAAGAAAGGATGGGCAGAGTTCTCCAAGTACTCTGTGATCTGAGCAGAGACCCTGCGCCAAGGATGTTGCTACCTGGGAAGCTCCTTTTGCGGGATTTAAATGCCTCTAGGCCTAGGGAAGCTGATGGACATGGCAGTAAGAGCAACCAGCATTCATCCTTTCAAGGTGATACTGGGTTATTTGGGAGTTCTGTGTTACAGAGGAGTCAGCTATGACTCCCTGTAGCACATGGGAGCTGCCAGCAGCTGCTGCAGCAGCCCATGTGTGTTCTGGTATCCTCAGTACCCTGGAAGCAGCAGTGTTTCCCTCGGGAGGAGTTACACATCCCCCTGACATACGATTGCCAAAGTGCTGTGTTTGGCTCCACAGCCCAAGTGTTGCCTGGGGATCTCTCTCTGTAGCTGATCTGGGCTATGGCCACCCCTCAGCTCCTCTCAGTGCCCCCAGACAGGCTGGCAAGCTGCACACATCATGTTCCAGCTTGGCTTGCTCCAGCCATTGGGCTGTTTGCAGGGTAGGATCTAACCTCTTTGAAGCCTCCCTTATCTTTCCTGCCTGTCAGAGCTGAGCTCTGGTGGAATGTGGTGCAAATGAGCATCAGCCCTGTGGATCTGCCTGTGGGTTACTCCATCTGCACTGACAGATTGAGGCTTTTAGCCCTCTTGTGACACCCAGGCTTGGAAAGCACTTCTGTGCTGCCAAGTGATGGGGGGAATGGGGAAAGCCAACCCATCTAGAGCTGAACCTCTTGGCTTCTCTTGCAGACTTGTGTGATCCGTGCCTGGGATCTGAGCAAACCTCTGCTCTTCTGTCCAGCCATGAACACAGCCATGTGGGAACATCCCATCACAGCTCAGCACGTGGAGCGGCTAAAAGGCTTTGGCTACACAGAGATCCCCTGTGTGGTGAAGAAACTAGTGTGTGGAGATGAAGGTCAGTCCTTTTGCCAGCCTTTTGGCTCTTTCTTTCTTGCACAAGTGAATTCTTCTGTTGTGTGGCCCTCCTGGTGTTGAACTGCAGGGAGCAGATCCTTGCTGCTGGGGTTGACACGAACGAACTGAAGCTTTCCCCTGTGCTGGCTGATATCTATTATCCTCATTCATTAATTTTTAAGTAGTCTTAAGAGGTCATCCAAGCCAGGCTTTCAAATGAGCTGTTAGATAGGCCTGAGATTCCAAAGAAACACTCATTCAAGTAGAGAGGAGATGGAAGAGAAGGAAGGCTTTGTGGTGAGTGTTGTCAGCCTGGGATTTGGGTGTCCTGACCTCTAATGTGATTAGAACAAGCACTTTGCTGTCATGGCCAAGAGTGTAGCTGGATGTATATGTAACATCTGTTGGTGTTTGTTGCCTCAGCTTCCCAGATGAGTTTCAATTTGGGGTTTTGACATCAGATTTGTCTGTGAAGTGAAAGAGGGTGGGGAGGGATTGTTGTCACACCCGGTTTCAAAAGGCTTCAATTGCAGTGCTAAGAAATACCACTAAAATGATCTCATTTGTGTTTTAGGAGCTGCTTTAAGTGGAGGTGTTTTGACTTTGGGGAGGTTTTGAGGAGGATTTTTTTTTTTTTATACAAGCAATTTGGCCAAATTGTAAAATATCACCCAGTTCTAGCCCACAATAGCAAATATGCTCTTACCTGCACAGTAATGGCCTCATACTTTTGTTTAACAACCCCAACTCATGAAGGATTCTAACAGCTCTGTTCAATAAACAGGTTGTAGCAGAGACAGGGTGTTAAAATGCTCTTCACAGTTAAACCCTAGGGCTGGCTTAGTTCCTCAACTCTTAGGTGGGTACAGTGCTTCTAGAGGGTGGTTTTGGAGCAGGAGACTAAGAAGTAGTTACACTGGGGTGAGTGTAGTCAAGTAACTCAGGCACCACTTGAAATATCCTGGACATTTATGCTTCTGTTGGGATTTTAGCCCTGATGACATCAAATTCCTGACATAGTTGTAATGATGTTAAGGGAAACTGCCCAAAAGAGGTTATCCTGTGCCGATGTTTTGGCAGAAGCAGGAAGAGCATCTGGCATCTCTCCTTTGTCTTTTCTTTCTTCCCTTCATCCTTTTCAGTGCACATGTAGGATCTCCATCCCCATAGTAAAGAGCTGGGTCTTCTTCATGGGTCCTGTGCTGCTGCTTGCAGGTTCATGCATCCGAGGCAGAGCTATGGTGTTACATCCCTGTTCCACAGATGAAATGGGTGCAGTTTTGCATCCCTGAGCTTCAACTTGCGTTTGTGAGTAAATTCCCAACAAGATTATCCTGTTGGCAGGATTTTCCTGTAGGAAAATACCAGTGAAGTAGTTGTTGGCATGGTTTAAGCCCAGCTAGCACCTCAGCCCCACGCAACCTCTCACTTCCTTCCCCTCAGTGGGGTGAGGGGAGAGATTGAGAAGGGTCAAAGGGAGAAAACTTGAGAGAAAGACAGTTTAATAACAGAAATAAAAGAATAAATTGTGAAGAAAACAAGAGAGAAATAAACCCCAAGAAAGACAAGTGATGCAAATGAAAACCGTTACAAGTGAAGTCATATGGCATGGAATAGCCCTTGGGTCAGCTGTCCCTGCTGTGTCCCCTCCCAAGTCCTTGTGTCTCCTCACTGGTGGGGTGGGGTAAGGACCAGCAAGGGGATTGACTCTGTATAAGTGCTGCTCAGCAAGAAAGAAAACATCCCAGTGTTCCCAACAGTTTCAGCCGAAGTCCAACCCACAGCCTCACTGGAGCTGATCTGAAGCAAATGAACTCCAGCCCAGCCGAAAGCAGCTCAGAAGTGATGGACTCCAGTTCTCTGAAGCCCCAAGACACTCTCCACCACTGCCTTTTTCCTCTCGTTCCCTCTTCTTCCCCAGTAATTTCAGTCTGGTGGGTTTCATCCACGAAGCTCCCACCCGAGCAGCAGGTAGCAAAGCTCACACAGCTGGTGCAGAAGGAAAGGGATTCAGTTTGCCCCAGTTTTGTCTGTTGACACTGTGGTTTGTCTTGCTTTAGAAGAGGTTTAGGTCCTCACCCATGTGGCTGGTCTCACCTGAAGTGGGCCAGCTCCTGTAAGAGTTCAAATCACAAGTTAAATTGAGTTGTCAACTAAAATGTTTCTTTGGTTGGATAGTTAAATGCTATCTTTATATCACAACATAAAGGGAGTTTTGGGAGATGCCATCGCACCCATGGGCCTGCAGCAATTTCCCTTTGCAAAAGCATTTCCAAACTGCTGGATCTTCCTCACCCTTGGCTGCATTCCTAGAGCCTGGCACACTGGAAGGTTTTGACCTGTAGGCATGAACTGTGCTGCCAGATAGGCTCTGCTCAACCTAAAAATCCAGCTGGGAATTGCCCAAGCTGTTGAGGAAGTGGGTGCTGGAGGACAAAGGCAGGTCTTGGAGGATGCTCCGAGGGTGTAGCTCTGCAGAGGCAGGCAGGGAATGTCTCGTGCTTAGCAGGACCTGGCAACTGCAGCTCCTCTCCTTGAGGTGAGGAGATCAGGGGGGCCCACGTCTGCCTGCAGCTTGTCCACAGGTTGCTCCAGACCTCCTGGCATGGACAGGTCTGAAAGGCATTCACAGACTTACTTTGCAGAGAAGCCCAATTTTCTTGTCCTTCCAAAAATACCATTCTTCACCACAAATCCTCAGTTAGGACAAGGGGAATGGCTTGAACCTGCCAGAGGGGAGACTGAGATGGGCTCTTGGGCAGAAGCTCTTCCCTGTGAGGGTGCTGAGGCGCTGGCACAGGGTGCCCAGAGAAGCTGTGGCTGCGCCCCCCCCCGCAGCGGTTGAGGAC